TGTAGTTGCCACAGGCAGCAACTGTGGCTCAGTGAGTGGGGGCGCCGGCCCCATATACTAAGGGTGGCAGGTTCAAACGCAGCCCCAGCCGAACTGCAACCAAAAAATAGCTGGCCAATGTGGTGGGCGCCTGTAGTCCCAGCTTACTGGGGAGGCTGAGGCAAGAGAATCACTTAAACCCATGAGTTAGAAGTTGCTGTGAGCTGTGTGACGCCACGTCACTCTACCAAGGGCAATAAAGTGAGACTCTGTCTCTTAAAAACAAAAACACGCAGTTGCCACGACAAAAAGCCAGCAACAATTATTACTAAAAATGCTTACACGAGTGACATCCTTTGCAGTAACACCATCTTTCATGTAGAACTGGTCCATAACTGCTGGGTCAAGCTCACTCATCAGAATTTCCAGGGTTTGATCTGGCTGACTAATTACTCGACTCTCTGGGAAATCCAGAGTATATAAGTACCTACATAAAAGTAAAATTAGTTTTCAAAAATGACAACTGGTACTTTAAAATAAATCTCATTTAGAATAACAAAGATCCACAAAATTGTATTAAACACATACCAACAGTCAGAATTCATACGTCCCATACAATATGCTGCTCCATCTATTAATGGGAGAGAATATAAAATAAATATAATAGATCCATTGTACAAGATGGCTTATTACCACCCTCCCAATAAGCAGAGTATCTGTTCCATATCAGAAACATCAGTGTAGAAACACTTAAGTAACGGAATTCTCAGACCAGACAGGCAGGACCTATTCTATACCCTTTAAAAAAAAAAAAAAAAAATTCCCCCAAGCCATGATTATGAGATACATTTCTCAAATGGTATTTAGAAAACTATGCTTTACTTTCCCACTAAAACTTCAGGAAATAGGATATAGTCCCCAATTTACCTACTCTCCCAAATAAATAAAAATCATTTTGTGGTATTTCTTTCTGATATTGTTTTAAAGCCCCACACAAATCAATAAACCAATCTTTGTTAAATATCTGCACTAAAAACACTAACCTCTGATATACCTGCCGGGTATGATTTCCTATTAGTAAATGTGGTTAAGTTCGGAAATTTTCTTTTATGGGGCAGCGCCTATGGCTCAGTGAGTAGGGCACCAGACCCATATACAGAGAGTGGCAGGTTCAAACCTGGCCCCAGCCCAATTGTAACAAAAAATAGTGGGCATTATGGCGGGCACATGTAGTCCCAGCTACACAGGAGGCTAAGGCAAGAGAATCGCCTAAGCCCAAGAGCTAGATGTTGCTGTGAGCTCTGACACCACAGTTACTCTACTGAGGGTGACAAAGTGAGACTCTGCCGCTAAGAAAAAAAAATAAAATAAATAAAATAAAGAATTTTCTTTTATGCAAAGTTATCAGATTATGCTAGGTTTTCAGTCTATAAAGGGTGTTATTAGATAATCTTTAGTTCTCTAACCTCTTAGTAAAGTGATAGAAGAAAACCTTGCAAATTTGAGTCAGTTAACACTGTGATGCCATTGT